GAGACCCACATGAAAATATAACCCATCAAGGCTGGCAGTACTTTCCTGTAGAAACCAGGAATGTGCTGTTCCAAGCTTCTGCCAGTAAGGTGATCAAAATATTAGCATTAATGTTATAAAGCAAGTACAGTGGGAGATCTGACAAGGGGAACAATGTGATCCTTGACAAAGTGAGAGGCACATGATGCTGTGCTGTAAAGGCAGTCTTGGGATTTCAGGTTAGAAAGGAGGGCTGTGAAGACAGTACAGTTTATTTAACTGGTTACTTATGTACAACCAATGTTTTTTAAGTATCTAGCAGCTGTCCTAGGGATAGGGCAAGTTTCTGTATTTCTGCACTGTATTTTTTCATACTGAATTTCAGCCTAAGACTTTCAGTGGGAAAAAAACCCCCCATGTTACCAGAAACAAAATTGCTATAATTTGATCTCAGAAGTTTCAGAAACGAATGAAAGGAGTAGGAAAAAAAATACCAAGAGTGCAAATACTGATCAGACTATAGCAGATGTTCTCCCTTGAGAAAAGTGGTTACAAATACAAATGCCACCTAAATAAATAAGTTTCATTTTAGTAGGACTGTAATGACAACAGCATCTGGGTAATGAAAACACTGCCACAGCAGAACCAAACCAGTATCTTAGCACAAATTCAAATCCTATAATTTAAAACATCACAAAAAATATCCTAACATGATTGCTTTATGTCTACTTTCAAACAGTGTGGTTTGAAGTACTGCAACCACTGAGATTAATTCAGATGTTCAAACATAATATGGAAAAACAATGACAGCTCTTAAAAACTACTTAGGAATTGTAATTGCAAGAAACCAACTCCAAAACCAACCCACCACAGTGGAGAAAAAGAATACATATTAAAAGGAAAACTTTCCCAGATGCTTTCTTATTTATATTTGCTTGTGCGAGAGTAATATTTTCAGCTAGATCTAATTTTAAGTTGCCTTTGTGGCTTCAAGCAAAATGTGGGAGATAGTTATACAGAACCAGGAGGGTCTCTTCAAGGCAAAGATATAACAGTTCTTACAGCAGTTAACAAAGCCTTACAGTCCGACTCTCTGTTTGTTTTCAAGTACCAGCCAGTAGAATTTCTTTACGTTCTTATTCTTCCTTTTTTTCCCTCCCAGTACAAATACGCTTGGTTTATTTTACAAACAAGGGGCCAAAACAACACCCACGAAGTCACCAGCAGTCTTTCCAATGAGTTCAATGGAAATTGGATCAATGCTTAAATTCTGCTCTCACATTAGCATGGATTGGGGTAATACTGCAGTGTGAACTTGACCCTGTACAGTTTGTTGATAATAGTATTTTTTTATTTTTAATGCACCACACAAAAGTAAAGTTGTATGGTATTGTATGCTTTTATATTGTATTTTTAAATACAATACAAACATTGTATTGTTACTTTTAAATGCAAAATGTTGATGGGGTGGTGAGCCACACCCAACAGTTTTATGGTTAACAGGGTGACCCAGGATAAAAAAGAAAAGGGCGAGTCGTCATCTTGTGAGAGGTGTTATTAGTTGGGTCCCTTAGAAATATCTGTTTTTGGGACAATGACATTCAACACTTTCAATAATCATCCGGAGAAAAACATAAAATGACTGCTGGAGGAGGACAGTTTGGCTACATGGACTGATATGGATAGTTTGGCAAGATGAACTCAGATGAACCACATCCATTTTAATACAGCCAAAGGTGAAGTCATGCATCGAGGAACAGAGAATATAATATGGGTCACACATTGAACTTGGAAGATCATACCTCAAAAATTATTAACACTGAAAAGGACTTGCTTACTGAAAGGTCTCAAAACATATTTTTTAATAAGGAATAACCATGGAATGGGGGATAGTTTGGTGAATTCCCACTGGGATTGCATCTTGGTTCAATTTCTAGTTGATATTTCTAACCACATTTGAAAGAAAATAATAAATCATTACTGATCAAGCTTGCAGATGCTTGTAGCAAGCTTAATCGGCATGAATTTTGGGTGATTTGCTCCAAGAGTTCTAGGGGTACCTGGGGGAAAAGTGCTTGCTCTTATTTGTTTATTGTCCTCTACTCAGCCCTTGTGCACACAGCCTTTGTTCAAACTATGGTATTGATCTTCACCAAACTGGGCACATCTACGCGTGAAATTAATACAATGTAATAAACTCCAGCACATATCGCACTGGAGTTTATTGCTCCCAGGCGCCATGTTTGCACGTGCACCCAGGACTGCAGCATGTTGAGCTGGGTCGGAGCAGCCCTAGCTGACAAGAGGTCTGGGGGGGGTCAGCCTGCCAGCCTGGAGTGCTCTGACCCAGCTCATTATGCTGCAGAGGGGGTGGCTTGGGCACAAAGTTACTCCAGTACAGGGCTAGCTAGCATCCTTG